TTTTAAAATTATTGAGAGCATGATAAGAAGTTTTAAAAATAAGAAGATTATTTAGTTACGGTTAAAAAAGGGAAGTGAGAAAATGTTTATGTTACATAGGTAGTAATTTGTTGATTGGGAAATTATCATTTACCACTCTTGAAATTTCGCGTATTATCACCTAGACTTCTGCACTATTAAAAATATATACTTACTCTCTCTGTATCCTTTAATGAAAGTTTAATAACTCTTAATTACGTTTAGAAATAGTATAAATTCAGTTTTATAAATTTACTCACTTGCATATTTAATTAACCTGATAATTAATAAATTTACTTGTATTCAAAATCTTTCCACCGGAAAGTACTTTTTTGCAAGAACGTGTACTTTCCAATGAAATAGCCCTTATTATTGACAAGGTATATGACTATATCTACATGTGAGTAAAATTATACGCTTAACAGACACAATCGAAAGGTACGAGCTTAAAATCATAAATCTCTGTTACTTTTAAAAGTTCAAAAATATATTTGAGGTTGTAGAAATTTTGGTGAAACTTTTCTGACGAGAACAAGATGCATGTCTAATATTGAGGAATGTTAATTTGTATGAGAAGTACTTACTTTTGTGGTTAATATTAGGGGAGGACAAGGCCCGGTCTCGAGAATGACCGATTTTTTAATTAAGATTTTAGGTTGGGATCGAGACCAGATCGGTGAACAAGAGGCCTCAGGCCTCACTTTTTGGACTAGGATTGGAGCCCATGTTTCGACCTCGTTCATTTTTTCATTAAAACCATTGAACATATTTTAAAATTGGTTATAGTCCGTTTAAAAGTTAAAAAATAGGTAGTTAAATATTTAAATTATCGGGAGCGAACCTAGACAAATTAGGAGATTAGAACCGAAGATAAGATCATGGGTCACACTAATTACTTAGCACTAACTAGTTTGGGTGTGCAACTCATGATAAATTATAATGTCTTTACTAGTATTTTACATGTAAACATGTTCATATTTTGTCAAATGTTAAATTACAAGTTATATTATACCTATAATGATCTCATTTTCAGTGATAAAAAAGTTTCAAGAGTGCAAAATAGGAATTTTCTTGCATTCAATCTTTAATGGTAAAACCGAGTAGTCAACATCACTTTTGAGTCGGTTTGGTTCAATTAAGTTCATTTGTTTCAGTTCTTGACAAATTTAGCTTATTTTGATCATTTTCATGCCAGTTGAGTATATTTAGTCACTTTACAAATTCAAAGGTATAAAACGAACTACCTAGAGTGGGGTTAGATTTGTTCGACTTCCGATAAAAATGTCATAAATATGGACAAATTTATTAATTACCGGATCAAATTTGTGATTGAATAAAATTACAGTATTAAAAGCGGATCTAACGAAAAATAATAAAATTATATCTATAGTTTTCTCTAAATATAGATTAGAACTTATTTAATCATCATTAAAGGATAGAGAGGGGGTAAAAGTATATTTTTGATAGTATAGGGATGTGATTGATAATGCATCAAACCTCAAGAGAGGCCAGTGACAAATTAGAATCTAAGGAAAACATTTCTATTTGAGAAACATATTTTCAGGAGATTTACTAAAAATCATCTACTCGTGCCATTCACCCCATGTTAGTCTCTTGCTTTAAGGCTGCACAGCCTGCACTCTCCTAGAAAACTCTCTGCAGCATTCCAAACATCCGTAACAGATCCCCGACTCCCTTCCAAATAGTCTCGTTTCTAACTTTCTATGCTTTCACATTCTCCATAGTAACGTAATAAATCTGTAGGTTAATTAATTAGTTAGGAGTAAAATGAAATGACAAGTTCCATTAAGTGAAAACCTAATATAAGATCATTTTTGGAAGAAGCCTATGTTTTAGTATTATCAAGAACAAAATTTTCATGTTAAAAATGTATGGGAAAAAGTATCAAATCATCCCTTAAGCTAACATCAATAATACAAATCACTTCTTATAAAAACCTCCAACCAAATTCTCCAAGTCTGCAATGAAGTGCAAATCACCTCTTCAATTAAAAACAATTGCGACCAAATCCTCCAACTTGACGATACAACGCAAATGACTTTTCTAAGTTGTAATTTATCGGTTAAAGCTTATGTATATCTTTTCTTAAAAAAAGTTATGCCACATAAGATTCACTTATCCACTTCGTTTTTAAATTAGTTAAAAAAACTATATTAAAACAAACAACAAACTATACACATTAAAAATGAAATGTAATTTTGTTGAAACTTGAAACATTAAATTGACTTGTACAATTACCAAAGCATTTATTTAAGAAATAATTACATAAATATGATCAAAATAAAGATGGTTTACAAAAATATAACTAGTTACTAGAATAGTAATGAAATCAAAGTAATTCATGTTCAAATTTTGAACTTAAGGTACCACAGCACTACGTTGTAGTAATGAATAGTCATATTTATGTAAATAAGTTTTATTTTAGTAATATTCTTGTAAAAAAAAACCAACGGTGGGATAAATCTCCTAGTGTTCTAAACTCCTGCTTCTTTGACCGGTAGTCATTTCCTCCTCTATGAAGTTGCTGGAGCCTGGATGGTGCTACGTTTAGTTCTTGTGTTCGTCTGTGGGTATTAAGCTGATTGTGGAAATACTTGAGCATCTTAATTAAGAGATACGTGTTCGACCTCGTTCTATTACCAATCAATAAAAGCTTAAGTGGGACATATTGAGGTTGATAAATCACTCTTATGTGGCGTATTTTTTTAATGAATGACGCATCAATTTTAACCAGTAAATTACCGCTCAAGAAAGTCATTTGCACTATATCACCGTGTAAGAGAATTTGGTTCCAAAATTAGCATGCATTTGTGAAAAGAATAATTTCAAACGATATAGATATTACTACACAAATCTTGCATCATTTGCGGTGGAATCCCAATTTTGACGAATGACGATTCATGGTGTTAAACGTATTTGAGTATTGCAACACAGGGTTTGAAGCAAATACGTTTAACATCATTTGCGCTGGAATCCCAATTTTAACTCTGTGAAACAATTTAAGTACTCTATATTTGAGTAACAGCTAAAAAAGAGTGCTCTATATAATAATTTATCACGTGGTTCGTTGGTGCTTACGAGGAGTAGATGGCTACTAACAATGATTTAGCATTTTTTTTATATCCATATATGAATAAATTAACACCACATAAAATGTATTACCTCCGTCTCAATAGGCTTTAATTTGCATACTTTGAATAAATAATAAACACCACATATACACATGCTTACCATAAATTAATCCACATTCAGGAAGGTGTGGAATTCATACATATGTACACATGCTCATGTACACTTGTGGAAATAGCTGCATTGGGTTCGAAAATATGCATATTCAAGAGTTCTTTAATACCATCAATGCATCCGAAATACCAAACTATAAATCAGGAGTAAAGATTGAATTCATATTATAATGGTAAACATGCATTGACCAGACTTCTGAATTATATAACATGACTAGGTTTATTGTTACTTGAATGAGTGCGTGTAGAAGGCAAAGGTTATATTTGACAAAAATATTGGTAAAAAAATGTTACTCCAAAATTATCTTTGATCATGTCAGATAGCAAAATTCTTTTCAAATTTTCAAGAAGACAATTCTGAGTCATCCTTTCATTTTTCTTTATGATAAACAAAAACTAGAGACAATATTTGCATCAAGCCATCAAGGGGATATTTATCTCTTAAAGTTTGCTTAACTCATGATGAGATGTACATGACCATATACTCCATCTGTCCCGAAATTAAGTTCTCACTTTACTTTTTGGGATGTCTTAAAATTAAGTTTCCACTTCAACTTATTTTTATATTTGGTAAGTTTTTATTATTTACTTATTGTTTCATCCTCACATCACTTCATTGAATTGATTTGTTACCCCTGTTTCACTATTCATTACCCTCTTTATTATACTTATTTGGCCAATACACATTTTAATAACCTAAGGGCATTTTTAAAAATCTATCTTTATTCTACCTAAAAACCCGTGAAGTCAAACTAGAAACTTAATTTTGGGACAGATGGATATATCTAGGATAAGGTGTGAAATAGAAGTTCTTATAGCGTCTTTAAAAAAAAGTTCTTATAGCGTTGACGAGGGTCATGGTGTAAGCACCATTAATAAGTAATGACATGGTCTAAAATGAAGTATTTCAAAACTTATGAAAATATGTGTACATTAATGAATAAATGATATGAAGTGTCCTATTCTATTAAACTTCGTGAGCACAAGCGATATAAATAAACACTTGAATTGCACTATCATGGTTTTACATTGCCATGTATAGTGTAATCTTACGCCTTTTTTGATTACTGCATAATCAAAATTAAATTACTCCCTTTGTCTTGCTATTAACTTTCTGTATTCCTTTTTGGGACGTCACAAAATCATATTCTCATTTCCCTAAATGGAAAGTTTTCCTACATCAAAACAGTGTCAAACTGTGCAAAACAGTGTCAAACAGTGTCTAAACAGTGTTTAAACAGTAAAATCAAATTTAATTCCTAAAAATGTGTGAGTGTCAAAGTAAGAAGTTAAAAACGGGACGGAGTAATATTTAGTGTACTACTCCGCTTTTATATAAAATAATATACATTACATTCCATGATAATAAATTGCCTTAATAAACTTTAAACAAGCTATTATTCTGATTCTAGATATATCTGTGACTCGTGCATCGCAGAGGTATATCGTCTAGTCTAATAAGAAGAATGTTTGGTTAAGATACTTGTCTAGATTAAGTCATATTTGTAAATGAAGTTGTTTATTATGTATAGTGAATAAAGAATCTGAATTGAGTAAAATAATCAATTTTTATTATTCTTAGATTATAATCTCAATGAAAAACTTCATTTACTAATATAAACTTATTCCACAATTAATTTGAAAAAATTAAGATATAAATCAAATTTAACACGTGAAATAAAAAATTATAGTCGTGTATAGTAATATCAGTCAATTAGTCAAAAAAGTAACTTTTACCTTATTTTTATTATACAATTTAACATGTGAAATTCAAAGTTACATATTTGGTAAACCGAAAAAAACAAATCATCAGACACTCTTAATGTAGTTGTTAGATACTAATAGAAATTTAAAAAATCCCTCTTGAAACTTCAACAAATTTTATTTTAATTTAAAAAAAAACATCAAAGATGAAAAAGAACATAATAGAAGTAAACCTACCATAGAAGATTCCACCTAAAGGTAATACTGATTCTTCTCAGAAGGAAAAGAAAATTATGAATCAATTTGATCGAGATAAGAAGTCTTCCCAGCTTCAATAAATTTCAATACGTTCGATGCGTCACTTTGCATAATAATTCTACCATCTTCCATGTACACAGCACCATCTGCATACTCAAGTTCTTCAAGACGATGGGTCACCCACAATGCAGTAAGTTCTTTAGAAGCATTTATAGAGCTCTTCACAGCCTTAATCACCCCAATCTGGCAAAACTCCGAAGAAGATATATATAGATAATTAGCAACTGTTTTAGAAGATTTGAACAGATTTTGGATTCAATTTAAGAGGCCGCACAAGGAAACTAAACACTTGCATTCTCCTTTTCATCAATTCACGTATTATAGAACTTCCATCATTGCATGAGACTTCTCATGGGATCCGGGAGACACTTTTCAATGATCAGCATACTCTTTCAAACCAGACTTTTGGGGGAAAGACTATTCATAGTCAATAGAACAAGGTTTGTACATGTACACTCAACAAAAAACAACGAAGTTAACAACAGCAATAGTACCTGATCATTTTCGTCCAAGAATGTAGTAAGTTCATCTAACAACAATACTTTGCATGACTCTGCCAAAGCACCAGCAGTGGCTACCCTTTGTTTTTGACCTCCACTAAGAATCTGAACTGGTTTCTAGCAAGTACAAGAGAAGCAATCATTAATTGCAATAGTAGGGGGTGATTTATACTCCCCCCCCCCCCACACACACACAAACAATTGGTCGTTAGTAAATGTCAATTTCCACCGCTTTAGTTAAGCATAAGGACGTGAACGGTTCTACACATATGAGAAGACTGGAATAGTCGAATTAAGACAAAGAATGATGTCAGGAAATACTTGCACTAAATGCAGCAACAAGGTAAGCCTTATGTGGCAACCAACAGTTGCCCATCCAAAAGCTCTTTTCTCCAGAAAAAATGTATAAGAGAGCACCCTACCTTGTAAAGAGACATGTATGACAACTGACGAGATGCAAGAGATACTCAGATACTCCCATTAAAGAGACATGTATGGGCAAATTAATGCAGTGACCTCTAGAAACTCATGGTGGCACAATGGATAATCCCAGTCAAAATACTCTAACAAGTTGGACTCATCCGTCAAAGGCTTCACGATATATTATCTCAAACTCCCTGCTGCCCCTGAATTGTCAAGAAGATCACATGCGGCCTTAGCTTTTTTCTTCCCCACCCAGTAGCGATGTCAACCTCACTCGGGAACTAGTGTTTTCATGTGTAGTAATTAGCTAGGAGGAAAAGTGTATAGTCAAGTGAACTATTAGAGAAAGCTTTAAATACCAAAACTCTTGAATTTTTGGAAGCTTTGCTAGAAATAAGGGTCTCTACCACTATTTAAACTTCTCTATTTCTACCACTATTTATATTTCTCCACCTCATCAATTGACGGTGGCGATCATCTTGGTCCAACACTCCAACAGATAGAGTGGTTTTCTAGAACATTGCATAAATATCTTTATTCTATAATATGCAAAGTGTATCTGAAATATTTTAGAATTTAAAAGGAATATCCTAACTTTTCCCGTACAATTCTAGTCTACTCTACCAGATCCTAAAGACAGTCATGAGAAAGAAGCGGGGAACCCTCTATTTTTTTTACGTAGTATCAAAGATGAAAATTGTGACACTCACCTGCTAAATGAATATTGACTGAATCAGTACATTAAGCTAGAGAACGTGTTCATATTAATTTCTCTAGAGTCGACTAGTCAAGCTAGTTTCAGCCTCTATTTGGACCCTAGGGGGGTGCTTTCCCATGTATTTAGAGTTTTAGTACATTTCTGGTCAGAAGTAAAGGGGACATGCCTACATTTAATCTCTTAAATAGAGTATTTGAAAAGAAAATGAGTATACAATCAATGAAGTGTATGTAGCCTTAAATTGTGCCTTCATTGTTGTTTTCATTGATTGAATTGGTTATTATAATTACCCCACTCATCAACATTGTTCAAAATAATAGAGGTAGCAGAAATAGTTCTGGTATTTGACATTCATCCTAAAGGAATCAATACTTCAATGCTACATTAATTGTTGATCATGTGTAGTGTGTACTTGCATATTGCTATGTGTTCACGATTGTCACAACATGCAACTAACATGAGTTTTAATCAAGGCATCAAAGAAAGATTTTGGAAGACAGTACTTGAAGATACTCATACATGCCAACAGCCTCTAGAGCTTTTGCCACTCTAGGTCTGACCTCATCGATGGATATGTTGAATTTCCCTAGGCCAAATGCTACATCAGCTTCCACTGTAGGCATCACCACCTGTTGGTAAGGGAATAGAATAAGAAACTTCCTTAACTTCTTATAGAAAATAGAATAGGTTAACTTTAAACAAACAACACAAATTTCTTAATCTAGACATGATGGGGAAGTAATAGTGTGACTTCATTACAAAGTTTCGATGTCTAAGCAAAGTTTATATAAATAGATGTTCAACCATTATATACGAAAGAAAATAAAGATGTACAACCCCATTCAAGTCCCATAATGGGTTATTCACATTTCTGGTCAGAAGTAAATGGGACAACCATAATATACGAAAGAAGTTATGAGCAGGGTTCCTTAAGTATAGTAACAAGCACAAAAGAGACCATTACAAAATCAAACCTAAAAGCGCCCATTTTTACGAAATCAAACCTGGTGATCCGGGTTTTGGTATACAAAACTCTTTGGTTTCTTCACATAAAAAGAACCACTGTTGGGACATAAAAGCCCCGCCAAAATCTGGAAATTTGCAAGCAAAAGTAATGTTAGATAAATGACACTTCATGATCCCAAATTGTAAATTAAATTTGACTTAAGCTAATATTAACTCGAATTGAAATTAGAATCAATGACTAAAACTTACACATACCAAAACTAAAATGAAACTTCAATCGAACCTAATTTGAATATGGTAAAACTTCGGTACATATATAATCATATATAATAATAAGAATTAGAATGACTATATAAATACTTAATAGAGGTAGCGACCTATGGGGCATAGGGAGTATCCTGTTAAAAGCTAAGCTAACCTACACAGAATGCCAGGATAGAAATGCATCAAATGATTTGTTTTCCTTTCACCTTGAAAAGAGTAGATTTTCCTGAGCCATTGGGTCCAAGAAGCATCCATAACTGGCCAGAAGGGATGCTTAAAGAACAATCATTTAGAATTGTGAGGTGTTTTCCCTGTTTTGTAAGAACCGAATATCTCAGATTGCGAGTTTCGATTGCATAGCTCTGTTCGATTGGGGAAGACCTGCATTCGAACAAGTTAATAAATGAGCCTGAATGAAATCCTTGCCTGCCTTTCAGAGAGAGAGAGAGAGAGATGCCTGGTGGAGTGACAAGAGAGGCGTGGAAGCTGGAGAGCAGAGGCGCGGATACAATTTGATGGGATCATTCTTATTCAAGACTTCAACGGTTGAACTTGCTTCATTTATACAAACCCATATGCAGACACGCATATACTCTCCATCTTGAGGACGGCTTTAATGCCCCCCAAACCTTGCACATGTATATAAAATTTAGTAATAATAAATTTTTTTAATAAACTTCAAACTTTCCTTTTTGGGACGGTCTAAAATAAACTTCACACTTCCTTATTTCCTTTTTTTGGCAAAGAAATCTACACCAAAACAGTGCCAAACAGTTTCTCAACAGTGCCAAACAGAGTCTCTACAGTGCCAAACAGTGTCAACAGTGCCTCAACAGTGTACTCTACAGTAAAGTCAAATTTCTTTCCTTATTTTGTGTGAAGTCAAACTGTGAAGATTAAAAAAAACCGGAGGTAGTAATTACTATGTGTATTTTAATAAACTTGGCTGTAGATGTGTACAATACAATCTACAACTACTTAGAGCTCATTTGGTAGTACCAAATTCGGTTGAATCGGTTGATTCTGCTAAAATAAATGAAGTTCTGACTGAAGTGGCTGGATTAACTCATCTGTTGATTTATGAAAAAAATTAGATTTAGAATATATTTTATATGTAAAATAAAGAAAAAATTATATGAAAAAATTGGTGAAATGGTCTTCTACAGTAATTTCAGCCAATAAAACCAAATAAGTAAGTCTAACATTTTCTAATTATTACACAATTCAGCCCGTGAAATCAAAATTACGTGTTTGGTGAAAAAAATGGCTGACAAACCTGATAAGCCGAAAAACATATTTACCAAACGGGCCCGTAGTCTTTGTTTTCTTTTTTAAAATTATAACTACTTAATTTTTTTGAGAAAATATAACTATTTTTTTATTAACTACCTAACTATTATACTTAGTTATAGTCTTATAGAATATTTATGGTTCTAGCGACTTATGGTTTTAAAACCCTCCAGTCCATGTTATATTTAGGCTGCCTAATTGGCTAACCGATTTTTCCTATAAGTTATCACGAAGAGCCGTAGAGGCACTAGATAGAGATGAGCTATGGGAGCAACAAGATTTGAGTGCAACAAATAATATATACTTTGTATGAGATAGAGATCAAGACTGGTTTTTGGAGATGTTGGATGCAAGAAAGTTAGAGTGCAATGGTTTTTTGAAGAACAAAGTTAGAGTGGAATGGTATTCAATTTTCATTGAATACTAAGATGACGGAAAATGTTAGATTTGTGCTTATTTGATCCATTTAAGACCTTCACTGCAAAAATGGCCAAACTGTTGTGAGTTTTTGTCCAAAAGTGATCAATTTCAGGTTCATGCAGTGGCGGATCTAGCTCTTTTATTTTAGGTGTTCAAAACTGAAATAAAATTCAAGCTATCACAACAATCTTGTGTAATGCAATAATGCTACCATTGTATCATCATTTTCGCAAAAACAACTACGCAAAGAACCACACAGCCATGCCATAAACAGAAAAAATAACCACACTATCACGTCCGTCACCAACAAAAAAGAAGAAAATTATAATCTCATACCAATAAATTAAGCCAAAAAACATACTGTCAATCCAATAAAATAATAAAAAAAAAAGTGTTGTCACACCAAAAAATCATTTCATTTTCATTTCATTTTCATCTACCCCAGTGCCGCAAAGGCTCCAAACTAAGGTGGGGTAAGAGGGGTCAGATGCACGCAGTCTTACCCCTGTACTAAAGCACAGAGAGACTGTTTCCGGACGAGGATGACTAAGGATGGCAATGGGGGCGGAGACCCGTGGGGAACCGCCCCGCGGGGGGAGGATGGGGTGGGGCTTGGGGCGGGGTGGGGGCAGAGATGGGTGAAATATTTTTACGCTGTTAAAATATGGGGTGGGGGACGGGTATTGCTACACCCGCTCCGTCCCCGTTATAAATACATACTCAAACATATATATACACATCTATAAATAATGTACACACATATTCAATTAAATTATATGTAGTACTATCATCTGTATCATAATAGTTGCAACATTGGGATTTACACACTATATTCATGTACTCTACTTTGACTACATTTTTTTGGCCAATACTTTGACTACATTTTATTTATTAATGTATGTGAATTATTTTGTTTGAAAAATGTTGTTGAATTCATCTCATTACAAAGTTCATAATCTGTTTTTTTTTTAAATTTTTTTACTAATAGAAAATTAAATATAATGAGCATCGACAAGCGTGAAAAAAGGAATGTTGCAACTACAAAAGAACGGAGGAAGTATATAACAAACGCATATACATATAGACATACATATTTGTATACGGTTTAATCATGGTTAATGAACTAATACATATTATACTAGAATAATAATAATAAGCTAGTAATGATTAAAAATATTTATCATAAATGTTATATGAGTATTAAGAGTGAGCAAGTGAGTAAATAAACACACACACATTTATATGTAATATAATATGTAATTAATTGTATTATAATTGTTGAGAATTTTGAAACAACGTACATGATGATAATATGTTTACTTATATTCTTACTTGAATTATCTTCAATTCACAAAGCTTATTCAAATTGAAGAAGTATTAAAATTGGCGGTATTGACTTTTAACAAGCACAATACTTCAGTGTTGCGTGTGTGTGCATCATATATCACTATGTCCAACGCTTAACGTGAGAACGTGCGAACACCACATTTACCCCCAATGTCACAATGTGCTCGCACAATGCACTTTTTCGTATCTAACATAATATTTACAAAAGTGTCACCGTGATTTTTTATACTCCGTATTAGCTTGTATTGAGCAAAGTCCAACTATCCAAATGTGAACTAGAATGGTTTTATTGTGTATCACATTGGATTATTGTGTATCACATTGGATTAAATGTGAGTGTTCCAACATTAAACATCGTTCTCATTGGAATCACAATACATATATTTATGATAAGAGATTAAAAGTATATGCAAAAACAATAAATTAAATCTATATGGGGCACCCGTGGGTGACAACGGGGTGGGGGGATGGGGCGGGACTGGGAGTAACGGGGGATCGGGCGGGGATGGGGGAACTTTTCAGACATGGGAAGGATGAGGGAGTGTACCCCGCCCCAAACCCGCCCCATTGTCATCCCTGCAGATGACCCATAGTGAAAATCGCGTCCAAAATTACATGGACTGACTGCAGATTCATGACAAAGAAGCGCATACTTTAGTGAGTCATTTTGGATAAGACACTAACAACCGAACAATATATTTCCCAAGTCCCAACCCCAATATTTTATCAATCTGAAATTTGAATTAACCATTTAGCTAAAGGCCAAATGCCGGTGCGAACTTGAGATGATGTTTAGAAAATTAGGTTGTAATTACCGGACAAGGAAGTCAGGAGGCGGTGGACTGGTGCAGCCTGGACGAGATCCAGCGAGGTTGCTAGCTAGTATACTCGTCAAAAACTCAAAACCAAGAGCAGAGACGCCGAGTTAACTGTTCCCTAATAAATCTAATAGTGCTAAACAGGGAACTCAAAATCATATACTGGGATATACTCGTAATTAATAATGCTCATGAGGCTATGAGCTAGAAAGGAAATGGCATCTTTACCCCGCATATTAATCATTGAGAAAAGGGCAAAAATCCCCTCAAGTTGCTACTAAACGGTATTCAAATCCAAATTATAGGATGCAACCGGCGTACCATGCGCATGGTATAACAGGTCTGATATGGCACCGTTTTGGTGTTTTGATTAATAAAAATTAGTCATGCTCTTCATCCCTGTCCGCCGATTCCATCGCCAATTCCATACTTAAACATGTCAAATCAGAAATCAATAAAACTACACAAAATCATAAATATCAAATAAGACCGAAACAAACTTAAATAGTTATAAAATAATGTGGACAAGACGACATTGTTTAAACTTGACTTGGTTTAAAAATTTCACTCTAAGTGAACAAATAGCCATGAGAACTAATAGAATGTATTGTATAATGAATTAGTGGTGATTAAAAATCCATGGATTGTAAGAGGAAAAAATGGCATGTATATTACTAACAAAATTTTCCCAAAAAAAGAAATGATTAGTTATGTTTTGGGAAAAAAATATGACGAGTCATTGTGTACAAGTAACTACACAAGTAAATGACGAGTCACTGAATATGTCACTTTCTGGAAAATTTTAATGTATATCACTTACTCACTTGTTAAAACTTGAATTTTCAATTTTCCATAAAATTGATAAATACTATTCATTTGAAATTCATAAATTTATGCAAATAAATAAAACTCATTCATAATAAGTGTATGAACTATTTTTTTAAAAAGTGTATGAATTTTAAAAAGTCTATGGACTTTTTTCGAAGTCCACTGATAGAAAAATCCATATAAGGCCCTAAGGCCCTAAGTTTGGCCACATCTTGCTCAATAGGGTAGGCATGTCCAAAACAACTGGCCCGCAAAGACCCGCCCTGGTCCGATATATTTGGGGCGGGTCCGCCTCGCCCCTGTCTTGCAAATGGGGCGGATCCCCCCCATCTTGCAAATGGGACGATCCGCGCCGCCTATACAATGAGGCGCGCGGATCCGGGTATTAGTATTGACCCGTGCCGCCCTGCCCCGCCCCGCTCAATATATGAGTATACATACTTTTCCTTAAATTATACTTCAAATATACTTCAACATACATATGTGTATATATAATAAATCATAAATCCTTTGATCTTATAATATATTACTCCCTTCGTCCCTCATTTATCTCCCCCTTTGATCCGGCACGGGGATTAAGATAGTGAGTTTTGTGTGGTAGAGAGTTGTGCAGAGAAGAGAGAAACGTGTAAGAATTGTTGTGAACAACAAATTCTTTGCCAAAAAGGGAAAGAGGAGATAATTTAGGGACAGACGAAAAAGGAAAGTTTGAAGAAAATTCAGAGACGGAGGGAGTAATATTTATATTTGAATGAGATGAACTAGGTGATAAGTCCGTATTTGAACACGCATTTGATGCGTGTTCAGGTCGGATTTTGATGGTTTTCCTAGCTTTAAGGCGTTGCAAGTCTCAATTTTGGCCCAAGTTGTGTTTAGCAGGTGTTTGATCGAGTTTTGTTGTAATTGGAGTTGAATTGAAGAAGTTAGAGTCCGGCAATCGGTGCTTGAGAGGCATTCGGGAAGGATTTGAAGGCACTCAAGGAAGATTTGAGAGATTTGGAGGTCACCGGGAGATTCACGATGAAATTTTGATGAAGAAAGAGCATTTGAATCGACCTCGTAGGCATTCGGGAGCTTTCGGAACACGAAACGAAGAAAAATGATGAAGAACAATGATGAAGAAAAGACCAGGCACGACCGTGCCTGGAGAAGACGGAGACGCGGAGCTACTTCCAGCCAGACACGATCGTGTCCGGGGCAGGCACGATCGTGTCTGCAATCAACACGCGCGATTCTTTTGTAGGCACGATCCCAGGCACGATCGTGTCTGGCATCGTGTCTGGCCCCGATTTGTCCTATTTCAGCTCAAACTCTACTGTTTTCTATAAATAAGACCTCCTTACCCCTTTTTACGGGTGACGAACATTACGGAGAGGCCTAGGGACGAATTTAACACCGTTTTACGCTATTTTCTTCCAAGACCCTGGGATTATTTGTAAGTTCATCTTTTTAATTAATGACAATTATTTCTATTCATCTCAATTCTGTTGATTATTCAATTATGAACTAGTGTTTTACCCGGGCGTTGCCGCCCCGGGCGGAGGTTGTGAAAGTTTGAATACTTTGTAAGATATATATTTTATAGAATATATAAATAATTAATCATTTTACTTAAAATAAACTTTTGTTGATTGTGGATAGTAATTTAATCAAAGAGAATCTATATTAAAAAGTGACATTTTAATGTAACATCACACATACCAAACATCGCATTGTTAGGTTTAAATTGGAAAACCTCTTTATAAACGACATTCACCATCTTGGCGAAGAAATTTGTTTCTTTTGAACATATGCATATCTTAATATATTTTTTACTCATTACTCTTGGTATTGCAATATACATTTGGTCATTAATGAAACTTCTCTATCAAGGTATAAATCAAATTTTATATAATAACGTTTAGCCTTGACTTATATATATTGATTGTCATTGCAAAGCTTACCATCACATGAAATTACTTTATTCAAATATTGAATAAAGTTGTCATATCATGATAATGAGATTTTCAATATGTGAACTTTATCTTTCATAACTTTTCGAATTATGACTTGTCATACTTGTTTTTCCAATCTAGTTATGACCAATCACATTCTATTGAATAAATCTTGTGCATGATTAATATTCCCCAATAACATTATCGGGGATTCCGATTTTCTAACCAAGGATATGGTTGGGCAATCCAACCATTGAAGCGCTATTAAGATATTCGACACTGTAACTAAGACATGTAACAAAGATATGCAACTGCTAGGCCATCAATCCACGATAGCATGTAGTTACTCATGATGTTTCTTGGTGTGACGTCTAAAATCTTAGAACACGCCTCATATATCAGTATATCTTCATCCCATATAATCAAAGATGCAACATACAACAATTTTGTCTCCACAGTTCCTTGATGAATATTGTAGGCAGTGCGACAATATTTATGGGAATAGAAAAATCAAATGATGAGTTAAAATTAGCTTCAATAGTAGAAGACGTGGATGAAGTTTATATTTAATATATATATATATATATATATATATATATATATATATATGACTAACAATAATTACTTGCATTGTGCATTTTCTACAAAATTTCAGACCTCAACATGCTCTTGTGATTCCATTTGTTGGAATAAAATGATACAAAATCAATATATACTAAAACATGTTCATTTTTACACTAATCACATGTCTTACTTTAGACATTTTTGAAAAATATTGTTCAATTCGTCCCGATTTAAATTTCTAAAATTCTCATTTTTTTACTTACATCAAACTATATATATATATATATATATATATATATATATATATATTAATAATCAAAGTAGTGTGTTGGCAAACATGAAAACGAAAGTGTTGTAACTAAAAAAGAATGGAGAAAATATATAAAAGAGAAACCTTTCGGGAGCATACAGTTGACCATGTTATTATTATATACTTCTAACTAAGCCAATAATTTTTTTAAGATGCAATATAAAATACTAATCCAGTAATTTTATGAAGAATATAAAAATATAGATAAATATGATTTACATTTATTTAGGAGAATCACATAATGTGAATGTACTCACAATTTATTTACTCTTTCCGTCCTGAAAAGGTTCGTCAAGTTGACTTTTCTTGATCAATGACAATCAACTTTGATCAATGATATTTTTTAATACGAAAGTATTTAGAACATGAAAATCATATCAAAATGTCCCCTATTCAAATAATTTTGACAAAAGTATAATTATATGATATTATACAATTATAATAATTAAAAACATTGTCCCAAGTTTTTCATCATTGACCAAGAATAGTCAATATGACTGATGGAGTATATGGCCCAGGAACCCCCGGCCCATAGACTCCTACTTCTCCTACACAAGTCCATTGAGCCCAGAGAACAACTCAGGCCCAAATGCAACGGCCCAAGCCTCAAGGTGGCCCAGAATACACACTGGGGGTGCCTTCGGCCTCCTTGGCCGAAGGCTCCAAAACTCACAGGACAGCCTTCTCTGGCATAAGAAGCTGCTGGGAGAAGACGGCGAAAAACATGAGCCTTCGGCATTACCAAGCCCTCAGCGTCAGAGAAGCCTTCGGCTGAACTAAGCCTTCGGTCACACGAGGCCTTCGGCTATACGGGGGTCCTTGATCACATGGAGCCCTCGGCTACACAAGGAGCCTTCGGCCAAACATGCTCAATCATCGAAGATTCCTTTTGGAGACAGCCAACCACCGCATTTAATGCCACGTCACATCCGCCAACCGCATTCAATGCGGTGAACGTACCACTGCCGGTGCCACCCGGCTGATGTGACCCCTCGGTCGTTGGATTACTGACACGTGTACACTCATCGCATTTATTGCTGCCATAAATAGCAGCCCTTATTCTCCTTGTAAACCACGCTGAGTTCATTTAATAAAATCGACTCTCTCTCCTCCTATTTACTCTGACTTCTCTCTAGTTATTCCCGCAATAACCCCTCGGATAAGATACCCCCCGGGTAGACCATCCATCAATGACGAACCTTTTCGAGACGGATGTATACTATATTATACCTTTTTAGTATTATTTTAATTTGAAAATCTCAATTCGTATTTTAAATTTTTCTCCTATTTTAAGTGTGATTTGGAAGGTAGTTTTATTTGTAAATAAAAAATGTACAATTTTAAAATAAATGAGAAAATTACATCAATTAGTTTTAATTTTCATTGTTGTATCTTATGTAAAACTATCGTTTTAAGTGAATATCTTATAAGGAAAACTAATCATTATACTCTTATCACTAAATACTAAATAAATATAAAACTCATCTTTCTTTTTTTGAAAATTCAATATATTCGTTTATACTACCTCCATCCCAAAATTATTAGCCGTTTCCAAAACTTTGACAAATAATATATATTTATTGGAAATTATTT